AAAAAAAAAAAAAGAAATAATATCAGAAAAGAAAAGAAAAAAAATGACAGACAGCGAGTCTGATATGGGGATTATTCATCTCCGGAATCGACTTTTGGAGTTAATGTATAGCAGCGAGGCTGTTCTCTCTGTAGATCAGATCGCCCGGATTCTCGCCGTGGACGAGTCCAGGATTGTGCATGAACTCAAACGTGTGAGCCAACACGATGTGCTCTACGACCCAATCGCTGGAACTGTGCGGGTGCAGGCACAACGCCCCTCCGACGCGGGCGTCTCCGCCGAGTTGACGGACGGCCCGCACAGTCTTCTCGCGGGGGCGGCGAGTGTGAAGGCACATGCCGCAGCGGCCGGAGGGGCGGCAGTCGCTGCGGGGGCGGTGGAGGGCACCGTCGCGCTGAAGAACGCGGAGGGCGGCGGGAACGGCAGTGGACTGCGGTACACCGGCGGGTCTCATTATGTGCGGTACGGCAGTGATGGCGGTCATTACTTCCAGAGCCGTGGGGGCCGCGCCGTGGCCACGAAGAGTGCCCTCCGCAAGACAAAATACCGCCGCCCTGTTGGGGCAGAAGCGGTGGGAGGTGTTGTTAGTGCTGGGGAGGATGAGTCGACATCACCAAAGGGACGTGTGGGGTATGTATGTGTGGCGGATGAATTTCGTCTTAGTGAACTAGAGGTATACTACCGATCACAGGGATTTTATACCAAGTTTGATTTTGATGTACTTCACATTCGGTTTTCAGATAAGGAGATGAGTGCGAAGAGTGCACGTGGAACCACCTCAGGTACTACTACCACCTCACATGGTAGTGGTGGTCGTGGTACGGACAATACGAGCAGTGGGGCTAATAATGGTAATACTAACACTGGTAACAATATGGGTGGGGATAATACAGTGGAATGGAAACCAACAACAGCTGTTAATCATCCTCGCAAGGCTGGATTTGATCTTTTTGTTTTTGAATATGGTGCCATTGTATGGTGGGGTTTTGATCAACGTTTCTTTAAGATTGTAGAGAATGATTTTATGCTTCCAAATAGTCCAATTGCACGGTATATGGTAAATCGATACATGACTCAACTTGTCAGTGAAAATTACCCTGTTTGGTGTACCTACACACTTACTCGTAAAGAAACACTAGAACCAGATGAACACTTCAGAGAACGATTACGTTTTGATCATTTTATTATTCCCTATGGTCGTGGTGATTTTGATACAGGTAATGTCAGTATGCTATGTGCCTCTCACGCCCTTGCCCAATCTGCAAAGATTGATTACTTGGAACTTAAAGTGCAGGAACTCGCAGAGAGTTGTTCGCCATTACCCCGCGAATTACGAGAAAAGGGTCGTGCCACTATTACAGAAAGACGATTACTTCAACTCCGTGGTGAAGTGCTTTCATACCGACTCATGTTAAAGAGTGGGTCTAATCTTATGGATGAACCGGATTTTTTCTGGGAAAATGCATATCTAAAGCCAGTATTTCAGGCAACGAAGGAATGTTTTGAAATTGCAGAACGTGTGGAAGCATTAGATAATAAACTCGACGCTGCAAATGAAATTCTTTCCATGTTGGCAGAAGAGTTTTCACAACGTCATGGGGCACGTCTGGAGTGGATTGTGATATGGCTTGTCTTTGCAGAAGTTGTTATTGGAGTCTTGGAACTACTAATTGATTTGAAACCTTGGTTTTACCGCAAGGTGTAAGGAGGGGGAGGGTTTGTTTTTCTCATAGTGGAGAAAATCAGAAAGTCAATTAAAGGTGCAAACACCGAAAACAAAAGAACTATAAAAAAGAAATAAGAAGAAAAGTCTACAATATTTCTCGCACTGTGTTAGGCACCGAAAAAGGAAAAAAAAAAAAGAGAAAAGACGGTGGTTGCAGCAGCAAGAACGGGGTGGTTATGTGAGAAAGTTCACATTTGAAACCACAAAAGAAAAAAAAAA